CCTCCCTGCCAGGGCCAACCACATGTATCCGGACTAGCCTCAAGAACCATCCCCAACTGTCATTGTTCTTCTTCTCAACTAAAGCAAATGCTAAAGGAACCAACTTGTTGTTCGCGTCACAGGATATGGCTATAAGAAGTGTGCCCTGGTATTTGCCAATCAAGAACGTACCATCAATGGAGAAGACGGGACGACAATGCCTAAAGGCCTCGACACACTGAGGAAAGCACCAGAAGGCACGGAAAAATATCTGCCTCCCATCCTTCCATGCATTAGGTTTTGGGATGTACTCATAATGCATGCCTGGATTCACCGCTTTGATTGCATTGAAAAGAACTGGCAGCTGCTCATACCCATCCTCCCAGTCCCCATATATCATGTTCCACGCTCGCTGCTTAGCCCTCCATGCTTTACCATAAGTTATCACATATCCTCCATACAATGCCTCAACGGTCCACGATAATTGTTCTCACCTTCATGTTGGGTTCTCCTGCAAAATTCCCATCAACCGCTTGGCAATTAGGGTAGATGTCAACTGCCGATGCCTCAATTGTCGACTCATGGTCGGCACAATTGTGTGGCCCAACTACACTTTTTGTGATCTTCCATTTTCCGGTCACTGTTGCTTCCTTGCACAAACCCTCCATGGGCAGCGTTCCTTGTCACACACAACTGTGTAACGGCGCTCCACATATGAATGCAATACCCTGTAAGGCCTCTTTTCGTATCACTGCAAAAGCTTGCAACCACCTCTTCAAAGCAGGGAGGTCATTGAACACCCTCCCTCCTCAATTACCATGTTAGGACCGGCCTCAGGAGCTTCTAGGAGCTCATCATCACGTCCTTCTGCAAACGCCAGATCAGAATGAGCAAGATCACTAAACTCATGAACTCTAGGATCACGGCGGTCGGGAAAGATACGTCTCATCATCTCAACATCACTCTCCGTCAGCTCTCCAACAGCACGATCATCATCAGAATCAAGAGCCCTAGCCATCTCATATGGCTCCGAATCATTCATAATTTCAACATCATTGGAGCCACGAAATCCATCTGAAAAGTGCACTTGCGCAGCAACATGGGGCACATCGATATTCTCAGGAATGTCTCCTGCAACGTCATTACAGAAATGAGGAAAGAATGAAAAAAATACCATGATTCTGATGAGCTCCCAAAAACCATGCGGTTAAGACACTTACTCGGATGATTCTGTGTCAAAGGGATCTCATAAGGAGGATCTGCCACGAAAACATGAGTATGACAACCATCTCCAAATAACGCATTGGGGGCAGATTGAGCATCAGGAACCGTAGGCGCAATCTGCACATGCAGGTAAGGTTCCGGAACGGGAGGGTCGATGTGTGCCGGATGATCCATTGCTGGGGTAAACCCATGAGGGATTGGATCAACTAACACCCGACGAACAACCACGTCCAAACATTGTAGCTGGCTCTTCATAGCCGATCTCACATAGTTGTCTCACTGATCCGCACAACCAATTGAGATCATTCGCCTTAAGATGTTCGGAGGACAACCTAGGTGCAGTACACCATCAACTGCAATGTCATCATCTCCAAAGCAATGCAGCTCCTCCCGAGCCCTTGCAACCATATCACTAAATGAAGGTCTATCATTGAATAGCACAGGCACGCTTTGCATGTCAAGAAACTCAACATATCCATAACGATCGCTTTCAACCGTGCCTCCATGATATATGGTCACTAGGTTGTCCATCTATTTAAAAAACGTAACGAAACACATGTCCTTTAGTCCAAATTATACGATAGATAGTATCTAACAAGTACTTTCTAACTACAAACTAAGTAATCATGATCATAACTACGTATATATTTATAGTGTACTCACTAAATAGCAAGATCATATGTAGTTAACTACAAATATAACTACATATCTAAGTAGCTATCTAACTATATCTATTTATCAATGTATCTATGTTTCTATCTATCTACATATATATATAACTAAATCAACTAACAAAGTCATCACAATATAACTAGTCAATAACATACACCAACTAAATAGGTACATTGCATATTCATATTTTATACCTTCCGATTCGACGGACGATGGGCGAGGTCAAGGCGAATATCCGGGACTGCGGTGGCGCGGCCAACAGACAGAGGTGGCCTTGGCGGTCGGTGGTGGGTGGCGGCGCTCAGCTGCTGAGACCGGCTCGACGGCAGCTGTGAGGAGGCGGGCGAGGCGAGGACAGCGGTGGGCGTCGGCAAAGGCGGGCGAGGCCGAGGGCCGGGCGGTGGAGACAAAGGCTACGACGACGGGTGGAGGTGGCGGCTCGGGCTGCTGACCAACCAAGCCACCAACAAGCGAGGGCACGGTGGCGTGCGGCTTGGGCTCGGGCGAGGAAGCGAGGGGCGTGGGCTGAGGCTCGGCCGCCGAGAGCAAGCAGCGGCTCGGACGGCCAGGCAGCGTGGGGCTCGGGCGAGAGAGAGAGAGCGTGCGCTGGGCTCGGCCGGCCGAGCAAGAGCGGTCGGACAAGCTCGGACAAGCCTGGTGGCTGGCTGGCTCGGCGCAGGCGGAAAGCGAGAGTGGCGCGTGCGGCGCGGCTGGCAGTGGCAAGCTGGCTGGGGGCGCTTGAGCGTTCTGCTGCTGCACGGCGAGCGGGCTTGGCCGTTCTGGGCGCGCTGCACGGCGAGGCGGGCGCTGGCATGGGCAGTAGGCGGGCGCTTGGCACGGCGCGAGGCGGGCACGCTGGCGAGGCGGGTGCTTTCTGGCGCAGGCGTGGGGCGCGGGCGCTGGCGGGCGCGGCGCGCGGCGGCGGGCGGGTGCATGGCGTGGCGGCAAGACGCTGGCGCGGGCGACGGCGCGTCGTCTTGTGGCGGCGTGGCGTGGTGGCGGCGGCGAGGGCTGGCTAGGGCAACTAGAGGAGGAAGAAGGCCGGCCGGGTAGATATTTAGGCCGAGCTCGGCGCCAAGATCTACGGCGCCGAGCTCGGCGCCATCCGCTCTGGCGCCGAGCCCCTTGCAAGCCGTTTGCCCATGGCCAGGAGCTCGGCGCCAGTCACCGTGGCGCCGAGCTCGGCGCCACTCACTCTGGCGCCGAGCCAAGGGTCAATTTCTGGAATTCTTTCCGCCAGGGGTCTATTTGAGAGAAACTTTCGAAAAAAGAGCCAAAAAGTAAAAAATTCGGTGAACGCGGTGAAAACAACTCAACTCGATTTTTGGTAGCATGTCAATGCTAACGAGGTTTCATACGAACATGCATGAATAAATACTTCATACTTGTACAGTTATAATATACTACTACACCTGTCTTTTTTCCCCTTTCAAAATGTCTCACTTTTTATGGCAAGGATCATCAAAACGTCTCATTTTTAATGCCATAATTTCAATTCTCGCCGGATATGTACCCTCTAGGCTCGACTGATTTAGCAAGAAAACTGTGAATCGCTATTTCCCTTAGCTTGCTGAATCTTTTTAAATTAAAAAGGAAATATTGAGATGGTGGTGGACTTAATTAAATTAAACACAATTTTTTAAGAATAACTGTATTTAAACACGTGTTAACCTACAGATCAAGCAATTTAAAAAGGGTGATACGAAATGATAAGCTGTCAGGTAATTTCTCACCGAATAATTGTCAATTAAGCAGCCAAATCACAGGTGATTGACATTTAGTGTCTCCTTCCCGGGAAGCGCAGGGCAACATTATTGCCAAATGGCATAAAGGGAGAAATAAACTAGCTAATGTCCCTTGAGCTGAAACGTAAGAGCAAGTTTAGACACGTGAAATATCTCTATCCTTGTATGAAAGCATTGCATACACACATACACACACCCATCATTACTGAGCGTAATCAGGTTGGTTAATCAAAATCAGTAACACCCACCAATTCAGCAATGCGCCCAAGCAAGCAACCATTTCCTTGGAGCCAAAACCATCACCGGCAGACTATTTTATTTATGTCAGGTTGAGGGGGGTACCAAATTAGGCAGCCAAGCAAACTTCAATTGTTAGCAAGACACCACCACCAATCACAATCAAAGCAAGGAAGCAAGGCTTTTATTTGTTGTTGTGCCAACCCCAGCCTGCAAATCAGAGGCACCCTATGTGCTGCGCTGCAATCTTACATGCATGTCAATGCCATGTTGGTGCCATGCCAAAACTATCTCAGCATCCAGCAAGATATCCATGTCACCAACCCTATGTGACTGGTGGTGTTACCAAACCATATATGAAGACACAAGGAACAAATCTGATGGCCCCACTCTCTCTCTTTCTCTCCTTTATTTATCAGGGACTGGGAAATAAAACCAGCAACGAATAATAAATCGAGCAAACAACCCAGAGGCCAAGCAAAGCAAAGCCAAGGAGGATGCAAATTGCACTGATGCATGGAAGGGGAAAAAAAGAAATCAAAGGCTGTCAAAGATACAGCACACACTAACCATAATCATGAATGGGCCCAATCCTCAGTGCCCCACCACCTCCCGGTTTCCCCTCACTCTCTAAAATTGAAGGAAACTGAAAAAACAGAAAGAAAAAGAAGAAGAAATGTGTGCCTCAAAAGCTGAGGAGAGAGAGGAAAAGGTGACAAGAGAGAGAGTCGGAAAAAGGACAGGAGGGAGAAGGGTGGGGGGAGTATCAAGAAAGGAGAGGCTTTGCATCCAAGCGTGCTCCCCTTGAAGCAACCCTGCTCCGGTCAGCGTCCCTGTTGACCGCACAGGCACAACTCCCACTCGCAACGGAACGGAGTGGTGGTGGTGGAACCGAACCCGCGCTCGGCGCGTCCCTTCCCTCCTTCCTCGCACCCCACGACGCCACGACGCGACGACCCTGTCACAGTCCTCCTCCTCCTCCTCCTTGCCTGCCTTGGGCTTCCTATATATATAATATCTGCCCTCCTCTCGCACCCACGCCATTACGGCCACGGACACCCCCTCTCCTCTGCTTTCTCTCTGTGTCTCTCTCCCCCCTCACCACAAGAACTGCAACTGCACAAGGCTCGCCAACGTACGGCTATGAAGACGAGGCGCGGCGCCTACTACTCCTGCCACGCGGCGCCGGGCGAGGGCCCCGAGGCTGTGCACCGCCGGAAGAGGCGCAGGACGGCGGCCGAGGGGTCGCCGGCCGCGGCTGCCGGCGCTCCAGGTGTTCGCCTGGCAGGAGACATGTTCGAGGAGCTTCCTGACGATCTCGTCGTCTCCATACTAAGGGACGTTGCCGCGTCCGCCGGCTCGCCGGCCGATCTCGCCGGCGCCATGCTCACGTACGTCCTCGTCCTGTATAGTATCGTGCATATTGTCTCCTGTCCGGTTCGGCTCCGTGAACCGAGAAGTCGATGGATGATTGGAGTTCTAACCTGGATGTGTTTGCGGACGTGTGCAGGTGCAAGAGATTCAGGGACCTCGGGCAGACCAAGTTGGTGCTCGCGCGGGCGTCGCCGCGGTGCCTCGCGGTGCGCGCCAAGGCCTGGTCGGACGACGCGCACCGGTTCCTGCAGCGCTGCGCCGACGCCGGCAACCTCGAAGCCTGCTACCTTCTTGGCATGGTAAGGACAGCACAGCAAGCAATCATTTCGTTGGGCAGCGAATCAATCGTCTTTACCGTCTTGGCTCGGCGTTGGATGGATCGCGCTGATGAACGAAGCTGATGATGCTGGATCGATGCAGATTCGGTTCTACTGCCTGGGTGGGAGCCGCGGCTCGGGCGTGGCGCTGATGGCGGCGGCGGCGGTGGGCGGGCACCGCGAGGCGCTCTACTCGCTGGCCGTGATCCAGTTCAACGGCAGCGGCGGCGGCAAGGACGACCGCGACCTCCGCGCGGGAGCCGCGTTGTGCGCCCGCGCGGCGTCGCTGGGCCACGTGGACGCGCTCCGCGAGCTGGGCCACTGCCTCCAGGACGGCTACGGCGTGCGCCGGTCCGTGCTGGACGGGCGCCGCCTCCTCATCCAGGCGAACGCGCGCGAGCTCCAGGCCGCGGTCACCGCCTTCGCCTCGGTGGCAGGGGCGGGTGCGGGCGGCGGCAAGGCGTCGGCGGCGCCGCGTCGGCACTCGTGCCTCCTGAGTGACTTCGGGTGCCGCGCCGCGTCCGGGGAGGCGCACGCCGCCAACCGGTTCCTGGTGGACTGGTTCGCGTCGCGGCCGCTCGGTATGGCGGCGGCGGCGGCACCTGGCGGCAACGGCAACGGCAACGCCGGTACTGCGGCGGCCTCGCCGGAGGAGGACGCCGCGGGCGCGCTGCGGCTGTGCTCGCAGGCGCTGTGCGGGCGGCCCGAGACGCGGCGGCACGAGTTCCGGCGGTGCTCGGTGTGCGGCGTGGTGAACTACTGCTCTCGCGCGTGCCAGGCGCTGCACTGGAAGATGGCGCACAAGACGGAGTGCGGCGGCGCCGCGGCGCCGTGAAAGCCCCGTGCCGTGCGCGCGCGGGCGGGCGTCGTCCGTTTCTTGCCACCTGTGTCAGTTTGCGTTCGCAGCAACGTAAGTTTTTAGTGCTCCCCCGGCCAGCCCTCCGTTCTCTTTTTTTTTTCCGACGTTTCTCGCCATCCATTTCTCCCCTGTACTAGTACCTGCGTACGTATGTACTGTACATGGTTGGTTGGCAATGGGCATGGCATGCTGAGCCGCTCTTGTTTAGTTGGGTGAATTTGGATTTTGGGGCTAATGTAGCAGGTTCGTTTTTATTTGATAAATAGTGTTCAAATATGGACTAATTAGGCTTAAAACGTTCGTCTCGTAATTTCCCGCTAAACTGTGCAATTAGTTTTTATTTTCGTTTATATTTAATACTCCATGACGAAGCCGAAAAACAGATACTGTAGCAACTTTTTAGACTTTGGGTCCAACTAAACACGGCGTGAGGTAAACATTATAGGTAGTGAAAATTTTTCACCGTTGGTTTGGTCCGTGACCGGAGTAAAGTGGCAAAAGCAGCACGGCTGGGCGGCTCTGCCGTGTCCTGTTCACGGAGGAAGCGAGAGCGAGACGTGACGTGAGGTCGAAACCCCACTTGCTGTCTTCAAAGGCGGAGCGAGAGAACGATGTGGCTGGCTGGCTGTGGCCGCGGGCCTGCGTTGTGCTCTCAGCGCCTAGCCAGACACACAGATGCGGCCCTGTCGCGGTGTCCGTCTGTGCGTGACAACAGATCCATCCATTCCACCCATCCGCGACCGTCAACCTCTCCTGGCTTCCAGATCGTCCCCTGACCGCCTGAGTCGGAGTGTCCAACGATCCTCGCCGTCGCCGCACCGTAACCTTTCGCGGTTTGGTTTTGATTCTTCCGTCCCCTTATCTCCTTATTCTTCGTTTGGCTTTGATTCTGTAGGAGTGAGTGAGGCTGTCTCCGACGGAAGACATGTTAGGATACTCGGACCTAAAATGGGTCTTTAATAAAATAACTATAGTCTTTAACAGAATATATATATGGAAGATCTATTTTAGATGTCAGAAGAGGTATAATCATAAGTCATGAGTATCCTCTCTTCTAAAGATTTATTTGTAAAATATGTATTGAATCATTTATCCTTAGCAGCAGTGAACGTGAAATAGGTCTTATATATTTTTTTTTATAACAGTTGTCGGTGACAGTCTCGTGATCGGAAAAAGCGGAGCCGCCGGGTGTCCACTAGCGCTTCGGGGCAGTGCAGGGGCCCGAGGATAATGATCAACAGTTCACCAGCCCGGCACGGGCGCCCTGACCCTCATGCATGCATGTCCCGCCGCGCGGCGAGCAATCAAGGATCCCCGAACCACCAGCACGGCAATCTATAATCTATCCGCCCTATCTAGCTATATAATATAATCTAATCTATGTGAAGTTCCAACAACCAGCTGCTGTGCACACAGGCCACCATGCATGTTCCATACGGATACGGCATCGACATGGCGGGGGCTGCATGCTCCACGGTGGCAAGCATGCAGGCCGTCCACGTACCTCGCGCGGCCGGCGTGCGTCATCGAGATACTCCTCCTATACAGATATATTCCAAGCCAGGACGACACGATCGAAGGCTACCTGTTTGTTTGTTTCGTCACAACAAAAAACCTACACGGTACACGTACAACAGCAGTCATCAGTGATGCCATGCGATGCGTTCAGAACAGACCAGTCATCCACCGATCGCCTTCCAGGCTTCCACGATCCACAAATGCCGCCGTGCGCGCAGTGTCATGCCATGCGAGACGTATATTCGTACAGGCACAAACAGACGCGATGTGCTTCCACTACTGCCTTTTCTGTTACTGTTGCAGGAGGCAGGAGCATTTTCTCAGGGACAGAGAAATGCCAAACAGACGACATACAGTGCGGAGTAGTACGCATCGATATGGCGCAGCCAGTCTGCGCGCCGCTGCTGGTTGATTTGATCAAAATAAAATAAACCTCCTTGTGAATGGAAAACCGAAAAAAAAAATCCAAAGCCGGTCCAACATAGCGCACGGGGCAAGAGCGCTCTGCTGTCGTAAAAGGGCGCGAGCTGAGAAGAGACTAGGGCCCAGTTTAGATGCAAATTTTTTGCGCTCACTGGAACCAATTATAAGCGGTACCGCCAAACTGACATTGATTTATATTTAATGCTCATGCATGCGTTTGCGTTTGTAAAACAAAGTGGAACTTGTGGACAGCGGTAACAACGCCATTGATCTTTCATGCGTTTGCGTTTGCGTTTGTGGTTGCTGGCAACAACGTTAATCAGCTATAGACATCTGGACGGTACGTAACATGTCTAGTACACATTACTATCTACAACAAGAAGAGTCCAGGTGATACTAGCAGGTAGCTAATGAATCGATGAACTAGTGTGTTGTAGTGCACGTAAAATACGGTACACGATCATGTTATTTGGAACCGGAAAATTCACGGGACCATGAAGCAATATGCATGGGCGCTGCTGCCGGTTGAGCGCCACCAAAATGGATGCATATGTATGATGTTAACCATTTAAGTCGTTGCAGCTTTTCTTTGCTGGAGATGGAAAGAGAAAGTTGTCTTAGACTTCACACGGGCGCGGTTAAATTTCTAGGTCCGCCATTGGCCGGCACGGTGAGAAAGACAGCAGAAAAGCCCACTGTTTCAGCCCTCGTTTGGAACACAACCCAGAACCCTAGACCTGGAGAGAACATGCAATGTGTTCCCCGACCGCTACTCGATCTCTTGCTGCGCGCCCATCTCGTCTGTATATGGTTTTCTAGACAGCATTACCTATAGCCCATACGTGCTTGTGATCCATTGCCGTGCAAGGCTATGCATGCCTACTTGTGCGCGAGTAGGGGCCAAGACCACAGTTTTGGTAGCTAATTCGTGAATGATGCATGTGCGTGTGAAGCGTGGGTCATGGTTCATATACTGAATGCAGATCACTCCTCAAGTTGGTCGGGTCCCTAGCATCGATGAAACCCTTACAAGGACATGTGACCACGTGACACACGAGGAGTTGTTGTTTGGTGGGTTTAGTACCACCTTAGAAGTTTAGGGTAGTGAGGGCTAGCTTATAATCCTTGACGTTCAAAGCGTAATACTTTTGGGTTAACCCTTTTATATGAAGCGAGGACGTAAGTGTAAGTGAGGTGCTACGCGTAGGCAGGTCTATTCCACGTGTAGAGCTGGGCCAATATATGCCATTTTGGACATGGGCTGTTATAGATGGTATATCTGAACATCAACCTTTGCTACATATGCCCGTGGAGGGGTGTACCAAAGAGTGATCCTAGACATCTTAAGGGGGCTGAATGTAACACCCTAGTCCGTTAGAAGCCTGTAGTAGTTATATTTTTAGCCCATGTGGCACGTGAGGAGTTGTTGTCTGGTTGTTTATGACCACCTTGAAAGTTTATTGATCGCCTCAAATGCAATCACAACCTATTATATATTACCGTTACACCTATTTGCTTCCCACTATCGGTAATCCGGTATTACCATATCCTATTTCCATTTTTAGATAAAGTTTGAACCACTTCTATTACAGTGGTATCTGATTTTTCATTTCCTTTGTGTTATAATCTATTGAACCAAACACCATCTATACAATTTTCAGATAAAGTTTGAACCACTTCTATTACAGTGGTATCTGATTTTTCATTTCCTTTGTGTTACAATCTATTGAACCAAACACCATCTATACTAGCTGGAACCCCGTGCAGTTGCGCGGGCTGGCAAACTTATAAATGTAGCGTGAGAAGGCACAGAATACATAGCACACGGTGAAGAATAATCATTGAGTAGGAAATGGGCCAAATAATATGACCTTATTTACAAAGCATACATATTTGGACTGCATTTTCTGCTGTCAACAAATCCGAACTTGACTGCAATTATTTTTGCATGTCAGGACATACAATAAAGTTATGAGTACATATTAGACGGTATGAACCATGTCAAGGGGGAAACTAATAGTACAGTGTAATCTATTTTTTTTGAGAGAAGGATGCAAGAGGAGCAGAGGGCAAAAGAGGGGTAACCTGCAAACCCAGGTGGTCACGGCACATGCATATGGTAGCTTGAAATGCGAAAACTGCATATGACGCTGCAATCAAAATGTCTCCTTTCACAAACAAACAATGGCCGAGAAATATCAGAGCTTTGGGGTTGGAAAATTTTGTCAGGAGCAGCCGACAATCTGTAAGGGTCTGTTTGGATGTAGATATTGAAGATGTTGGTATTGAATTGATTCCAATACCAAATCAGCCTTGTATTGGAAATGACTCAAAATACCAAATCTATTGTTTGGATGTGCATAGAATTGACCCATCTCCTCCTCCTCTCCACCGCACCACCCCGACACTCCTGTAGGAGCACCTGCTGGACCTGGGGAAGAAGGAGAGCGAGGCATCGGGGGCGGCGACCTTGACCGGCGGGCACCTGCTGGACCTGGGGAAGAAGGAGAGGGAGGCGTCGGGAGCGGTGACCTTGACCGGCAGGCACTTGCCGTACCTGGGGAAGGAGAGGGAGGCGTCGGGGGCGGCGACTTTGACCGGAGGGCACCTGCTGGACCTGGGGAAGAAGGAGAGGGAGGCGTCGGGGGCGGTGACCTTGACCGGCGGGGACTTGCCGTACCTGGGGAAGAAGGAGAGGGAGGCGTGCAGGCGAAGCAGGCAACGTCGGCGTGTGGAGCGGCGGCCGTGCGAGCGAGCGGATGGAGGTGCGCCGGCACATGGAGCGAGTGAACGGAGGTGCGCCATCTGATGAAAGGAGGGAGAAGAAGAGGAGCGCTGCGGCTGCTGCTGCGAAGCGTGAGCGGGGCAGGTGTGTGCGTCTTGATCGAGCGAAGGGAGAAGAAGAGGCTCGCGGCTCTGATTCCCCCCCCCACGGAGGGTCGCGGCTCCGTATTGCGGGTGAGGGGGGCGCGGCTGTAGCGAATACCCCTTCGCATTGAAGTTTATTTCCAATTCCAAAGTCTAGGCCATCCAAA